TCTGGCGAAATTATACATATTAGTCAGCTTTATGAGGGATCTATCTCTGACAAAGAACTAGTAAGACAGTCTGGTCTACTATCTCTACTTGAACCAGGTGATCAGATATTAGCTGACAAAGGGTTTACTATCCAAGACCTACTGCAGTCAGTTAACTGTGAACTTGCTATACCTGCATTTCTGGAAAGTAAAGGTCAATTTTCCAAAGAAGAATTACATACTAGCAAAAAAATCCACAATCTTCGGGTTCATGTGGAGAGAAGCATTCGACGCATTAAGGAATTTCATTTCTTTGATGGTGTAATTCCTTTAAATGTAGCAGGAAGTATAAACCAAATCTGGACTGTTGCTTGTTTGTTAGTCAACTTCCAAGGGCCTCTCTTTCATTACTAGAGAGTAAACAACATTACACTAMCATCTTGTTTTYAACCTTCTTTATTTAAATCAAATGACCAGCTTGCAGCCTACTTGGCWTTTAATTTTAATAAAGGATGTTGAAAAACAAGATATTACTATTAAAGTAACTACAAACCAGAAAACAAATATTTGATTTAACAATATTGTAGTAATACTGTTTATAATTAAACAACAGAACCTTTACAGAAGTCCTATGTRAAATGATGGTACTCAAGTACGAAATAGGAAGGCATAGTGTTAAGCAAGAACGTGTATACACAATGCTGTTGAAATTAATATCATGATCACTTATTACATCTCTTTTAGTTGAGAAAATATAAAAAATGAAATATAGTAACAAAACAACACGTGTTGAGATGGCTCAGTTTTCCATCATAATTATATAACAAGCAATGTCAAACATTTTATTTACTTTCAAAAGTGTTATGTTAAATGTTGTTTAGAATTTTCATAAAACATGAAACACATTTTGGTAGAAAGTAAGCAAAATAAAACACATTYAACTTATCAAGCATTTGAAAGAAAAGTACTTCATCAAAATGTATTCGTTCGCAATGAAATTCTTTTTTGCAATACACAAAAAAATCACACCAAGAGCTTCCAGTAAGGCCCATGCAACCCATTACCTGATAGTAATATATATGAGACTTTTGAAGGGAAAATTTRCCAGTGCTCTCATTATATTTCAGATATTTCAAGTTTCTAAGGCCATCTGCCATAGAGCATTTAATTTCCAAAAGCCCCCAGGTTTGTGATTCACTAGGGTCATGTACTCTTCTATCAGGGCTACATCCAAGATGAGGTATTGATGGATTTATAACGAAACCAACTGTTGTAATGCTAAGGCAAAACTCTCTAGAATAGTAAGATGCAGCTTCATCTTCATGCTGAATACCATAYTTCATAGCTGCACTCTGAAAGGTCTTCCCTTTSATAAGTTTGTCAGCCAAACTCTCAAAATCCTTTCGCCTTGAACATACAYGTTTAAAAWTTGAGGCAGTTATTYGGTGCTTTCGCAGTCTGTGCCAGTCTTTGTTGGAAKACTGGTCACGGGTTGATGTTTCATACTCAATCATTTCTTCAATAGACACATCAAGTGAGGAGTAGAATAATAGTTGTTTCTCTGGTAAAACAGACGTGCAAAATGAAGAAAGGTCAGGTAGTGTGAAATTTGGTGGTTGCAAAGTAGGATCAAGTTTTAAAGAAGACTGTCTTAAGGGAAGGTGATAGGAAATCACTGATCCTGTAGGTACTTCACCATATTCAGATTGAACATATGTSATCATCATCATTTATTATTCATTTCGACCACACAAGAATACAGGATATATTACAATATAATAGCTTAACGTGTGATAATTCAAGTTGAAATATAATTTTTTAAATTGATCAAAATAAAGGTACTCTTGGATGGTAGGCAACTCAAAAGGAAACCAAAGGCTTATATTTTTGAGCTACCTATTTGATTACAAGAGAGAATATCAAAGTATAATACAATAATTGGAGTAACAGCACAAAGGCAAGATGTTTACAAAAGCTGGACAAGATAAKATGTAGATTAATTAAGAATGTGTACAATATATATGTTATATGTTTGATAGATTACATTTATATGAAATTAAATTATGAATACAAATTAAAATTACTTATATGACAATATTATTTGCTATTGCATGATATAAGTTAATCAGTAACTTACAGAGCTAGTTCAGTTTGTTACTGATTAAACTTAAATAGAGGATTTAAATTCAATGCAGTTAGGACTGGCAACTTATAAGATGCTCCTTTAGATTCAATTTAAAACTTGCCAAGGAGGAGGCAGATTTTAATTTGGAGGGCAAAGAATTCCATATTTTAGGCCCTTGATAGGCTACAGTAAACAGTCTAATATTTGTTCTGCAAAGCTCAGGTCTAAAGTCATTACAGCGTCTTGTAGGATAGGAATGAAATTTAGAGTTTTTGGTGAACATATGAAGAAAAGTGCTTGGAAGAATCCTGTTTTCAATGGAGAACATAAAAAGACCTAATTGGTAGGAGTGAATATCATCTACTCTTAATATTTGATTTTGAGAAAATAGAGGAGAGGTATGTTCATCATAAGCTGAATTAGTAATGATTCTTACTATGCGTTTTTGTAGTATTCTTAATCGATACAGATTAGTCTGGTATGTAGAGCCCCAAATGATATTGCCATAAAATAAGTATGGGTATACCAAGGCATAATAAAGCATAAATAGTGATTTTTTAGATAAACAATGTCGAGTTTTGGAGATAATTCCGATTGACTTGGAAATTTTACTAGCGATAGTGTTGATATGCTCTTTCCAAGTTAAGTTTTCATCTATGATAACACCCAGGAATCTGGTATTTGATGAACGTTTGATTGTTGTGTTTTTGATCTTCAGTGAAAATTCATTGTTAGTAAGTCTTTTTTGTCTGGGTTTGAATATAATGTAATTAGTTTTCTTGAGKTTGATTGATAGTTTATTTGAGGTTAGCCAGTCAGTTACTTTTTCTATTTCTTGGTTAAGAGTATTTGATAGGTAATTGATATTCTTGCCAGAGTAAAACACGTTAGTGTCATCAGCGAACATTATGAATTTAAGAAGGTTAGAAGAGTTGGCTATATCATTTATGTACAAAATAAATAACAATGGTCCTAATATACTTCCTTGCGGTATACCACATTTAACAGTTTGGTGCAATGAAGATACATTATTGAAGTCAACAAATTGTTTTCTATCATTTAAGTAACTAGTTATCCAATTAAGTGCAATTCCCCTGATTCCATAAAATTCTAATTTGTTTAGCAGGATTTGGTGATTCACTGTATCAAATGCTTTGGACAAATCTAGAAAAATTCCTAGAGACAGATCTTTTTTATCCAAAGATGTTGTTATCTGATTAACAAGCTGAACAATAGCCATGGAGGTGGAATAGTT